ATATTGTTTATTATCGCCACAAAATTATAATAATGATCGGCAAAATTTTGCAGTTATCTCACGGAGCACGAATTAATAATTTAATTTTTAAGTAATATGGTTTTTATCAAACCAAAATAATAGCATTCACGAATCAATCCAAAATGTTTAATGACATATTACTCTGAATTTATGTTTATTATATAAAATGTATTATAATAATTACATAATAGTCGGAATTATTCAATTAAATATTAGACAATATGCCTTTTCTAGTTTATATTTCTTTTTTTTTTTAATTGCATTTTTTCTTCTAAATAAATAAATGATTTAATAAAATGCAAGAGAAAAGAAATAATAACTATATGAGGTCCACACGCATTTATGTATTTATATTTGCCATCGGTGTTTTATTTGGATTAAGATATTTTTGGTTTATTCTAGAAATCATATTATCAATGATTGATTACATATGCCAGCCAACTAACTAAATTAAAATAATAATAAATAGTGATGCTTCATCCTTCAATTTAGCCAATTACAATTTTATCATTATTATAATAAATCTTGCATTTCCGCCATAAATTTTTCATATTCATCAACTTTCTTTCTTGCTTTAGATTTTTTAGGAGGAGGAGGAGGAGGAACTTGCTGTTGCTTATCATTTGAAGATTGATTTTGTAAAAGTGGTATATTAACAGCAATTACAGATGGAGATGATGGTCTTTTAGTGGGTATTGTAAATGAAGAAGTAGATGAAGAAGAGGTTATTTCTGTTACTAAACCATCATCAATATTCGGTGCAGTGTTTACCAATGGTCTAATAACCTTTGGTTTATTAGATACAGCCTTTTTTCGTAATAATGTGGCTGGTATTAAGGTTGTCAATTCTTTTTGTAAATTACGAACTTGAGGTTCGGCCTGAATAACTGACATTGCAGTTATTGGTGTTGATGATAAAGATGAAGCAATAGTTTTGTTATGATTGTTATTATTAGTTGTAGTATTTGATTTAAAAGATGATAATGAAGGAGATGAATTTATTTGAGAAAATTGTTTTGATTGTTGTTGTGGTGGTGGACCATAATGTAAAAATTTTGTACTAAATGGTGGTGGCCTTGATACTGGTGTATTGTGTGAATGCGATGCAAATACTTGTCCATGTATAGGTGGTGGTGGCGGCGGCAGTCTTCCGAAATGATTAGGACCTATTATCCGTTCATTTGTTTATTTGTGAGTAATATAATAAAATAGTAATGATGATCCAATCAAATATAATTGATTTACCGGTTCCAGTAAGAAATGAATTTGGTGGTAGTCTCATATTTTGTCTTTGATTATTTAGTGGGCCTGGTGGTGGACCATTATACATCATAAAAGGATCAGCAGGAAGAAGAAATGGCAGTTGTGGCGGTGGGTGATGGTCATGGTGATGATTAGAATGATAAAATCCAAATGATGATGGTGGCGGTGGTGGTGGTTTTATTTTATTTTTTTGTTGTTTATTCATCATTGGTGGAGGAGGTCCTGGTGGTAAAGAGGGTAAATCATCATCCTCATTTTCATCACCTTCATCATCTTTTTCATCACCACTAATAATTTCAAATTGTTTTTTTGAAGGTGGTGGCCCGGGTGGTAATTCTGGTAATTTGTCGTCATCATTATCTGATGTTTCATTGGTTTTCTTTGGTGGTGAACCAGGAGGTAAAGGTATATCTTCATCCATTTCGTTTTTTTAAAAACCATAATTTGTTAATCAATTATAGTATATTTAATAATCACACTGTTATTATCATTAATTCTATGTTAATAAATTAATAATCATACTATTTATAACAGTACCTGTATTATCAATCTCTTCTGAATTTTCATCATGATCAGATAAATAATCAGTACTTTCATCACTATCAGTGAGGCTTCCTTCATCATCTGTTGTAGAATCTTCAGTAGATTTTGATTGCACTAAAATCATATAAATATAACTGATGATAGTTAATATCTGTTCACTTAACAAATAAATATAATATATAACTTACAACTTCCAGCATCAGTCGTTGGTGGTAATCCAGAAGGATTTAGGGTTGGATGATAAAACACAGTAGCAGTATGATCTTTTGGTTTATCTTTAGTTACGGAAACTCCGTGTGCTTTTTTAGTTTCTACTATTTTTGAAAATTTTTCTTCCAGCTCTTTTAATTTGACTTTTCCATTTTTATCCAGCCATTTTTCTTTGTCTAAAGTTCTATAACGTGTTATTTCTTCTTCGAGTTTTGACGTATCTTTGTGCACCATAACAAGAGTTCTTACTCTTTTCCTTTCAACTTTATTCTTCTTGATCTCTTTCTGACGTATCGCTTTTCGATGTGCATCAGCCGGATTAAGAGTTCTTCCACTTTTCTTTTTAACCATTTTTACAAAAATTTGCCTTAAAAAAATTTTATATTTAATATATTATTTATTATTTTAATATTAAGCTCGTACCACTGTGTGATGAAAACCTACCCCGGTTACACGACAAGGTTTTTTTAAGATAAGATTTCCTTATTTTCTAATATCTCGTGACTTGTGATCGATAACCCGATTATCTTTACATATAAATGATGTAATAATTCGAGACTTATTTCTACAAAACTACAAAACTACGTCATATTTTCCACTCAAACTTTTTTCAAAATGTTTCGTGATTTAACTAAGATGCTTCAAGAACAATTCCGACTTCCAAAATTTCCAAAGGAACCTATAGAGGAGAATAGGTAACATATGTTTTTATCATAGAACTGTGATCCTTTACTTTAAGTTCCACTTAGTGTTAGCTCACATGAATTGCAGTTTACCGTTTAAGATTGGTTCCAATATATCGATAAAAAACTACGACAAATTTCTTGAAAGCCGTGAACTATCTGGGTACAAGCTTGAATATAATAACGGCAACGTATTTGTTATTGATATGTGCACGCAAGAACATGAATATGTTGTTGCACTATTGCAAGATTATTTCAAAATTCCAAATGGTGGTGTTATTATTGATCCACCAATAATCGTTTCAGGTCAACCACGTAAGAAAATTCAAGCTTGCTTGATCTTTGACTTTTTATGGATTTTCTAATATCTTACATCCTTTTTATAGTTCATCCTTCACCAAATGCAGATGGACTTAGGATTGCACCGGATATTGCAGTACATCCAGATAAGGCATACGTTCCAAGACCTCCCAATTCTGGACCTCTCAATCTTGGACCTCCCCCAAGCGACACAAGGGTGCATTGAATTTGGTGTATATTATCATTATCTGTTTTGTATACAACTTTTCTAATACTTATATTTTTGTAGGGGAATCCTCATGCTAGAATAGTATGTGAGGTTGCAGTTAGTCAAAGTTACCGTGGATTGAAAAATAAGTGTGAACTTTGGATGAGTCAGCAGTATGTAAGATGTGTATTAGGAATAAAACTTTATGATTTGCAAACTACACGAAATACACATGGACAATTTAATCGATCAATGAAGGTATGTATCTGTTGACTATTTTATTGTAGTTTCGTAGTTGATATTCTAAAAAACTTTTTAAAATTAGGCTAAATTATGGAGACAGGGATTACCAACCAGAAAAGTAATGTTAAACTGTTTAGAGATTCTGTTTATTTTATTTTTCGATATTTACATGTATATGTCTAAAAAATAGTGGCATTTTGGGACTGTGCAAAAAGGTAGTAGTCAACCTACTGGATGTAATGCTCCGGGTAACCCAGCATATCAGATCAACATTCCGATAAGTGATGTATTTTATGACCCACCTATTCCAGCTATTGGATATGTTCCACTGGTTTCTTATCCTCGTCCTGCAATTCTTGATGGTAATTTCACCATTGATCTTTACGAAATTCAGCGAGTAGTTTTGAAAAGTCAGCCAAGATAATGAATATGTAATGTGTTAAAGTTTTTATAATAATCCTATTTGTTGACACTGCACTGCAATCTATAATACTTTGAACTTGTTTCATGTTCTTATTATTTTTTTTGTATTTATCAATGCCCATATTAGGCTTATCTTTACTGTGCATATGCGTGTATGTGGGTGTGTGTCAGAAAAATAAAATAGAAAACATATTTAACAATGTGTGCACATGAGATTTTATTGCTTAATCATGGAGCATTTAAAGTTTTAGATTTACTTAATAAGACCCAATTCTCGAAGATGTTCTGGAACAACTATATATGGATCTTCATAATACCAGACATATCCTAACAAGTTTTGTAATCGAGGATGTGCAAGTGAGCAGGAGAGAACACAAAATTTTAACCCACGCAATTTGCTGACGAC